ATATATATACTCACACACACATATATATATATATATATATATATATATATATATGCGCGTGTCTGTGTGTTTTTTTTTTTTTTTGCATCTGGCCCTCGGCCCAAAAAGTTTGGACACCCCTGGTTTAAATTTTTTTTTTTATCTAATATTTTCTATAAGCTGCTTCTGACCATGACATGTGCACACTAAAAGGTTATTAGAGACATGTTTAAGGGGTTATTTGTAGCAGCCTTCATTTCTTCTCTTAGGTAAGGGGAGATCTCCACTTAAGTATCATAGTTTAATGTTTGAACTTTCAGCAGTGAAATTTAAACCACACTGGACTGAACTAAACTGAACTCTGAAATCTGGACTTTACTACAAATTCTATGTTAAGCGGCTTTGACACTATCTACATTGTAAAAGTGCTAAATAAATAAATATGAATTGAATTTTGAAGGAAATGTTTTATGCATTATAAAGCTTGAGGCATCAGAATTGGTACTCGGTATCTGCTGATCATCATGACAAGGCATTGGTACTCGGTACCAGCTGCAAAAATCCTGATCATTTCTAGTATTATGTATTAATAAATGTATTATAACTGAAATGTGTAATGTGTCCTGAAAAAACACTGCCTTAAAAACTCCTGCCACGAGGACAGAATGATCACTCACCCCATCCTCCGCCGTGATCTTCCTCCTCTTCTTCACCTTCTCCGGCAGGAGTTTGCGGACTCTCTCCTTGTGGGTGAAGGATCCGAACTCCTCCTCGTAGTCTCTCCAGGACTCCAAGAGCATCAGACGCTCCTCTTTCTCCTCGCAGTTCTGCATGCCCTTATTGGCCTCCTCGTAGACCTGTCTGCACCTCTGCACGCGGTCTTCTGTGTCGATGGACAGCTCAAACTGAGCGTAGCTGATCCAGACCTACAGCACAACAACATTACATTCACGTAGTCCTTAAAGATGAGCATGTGGTCTCTGCCAGTCTTTGATGCTTACTTTGACATGTTGAGTGCGCTGTAACAATCTCTTATACAGTCCTCGTGTGTTGTCGTATTCTTCCTGCTCGATCTCAAAGTCAATGTAGGATTTCCACAACACCTGATGGAGAAAAATACAGCAGGGAAATAGTTAAAACTAGCTTTGTTTAAACATTGCAAGAATTAGACGCTTTGCTTCCAGTGAGGATTTAAGAGAAATGCTTTTAGGCCCGGAGTGGAACTTCTTTTCAGCCCTGGAGTTTCAAACCGTAGACCGGCCCACCAAAGTTCACGTCTGACTATATTAAAATAAAGTTTTTTCCAATTCAGTTTCGAATGACACTTCCACGCCTTTTTCAAGGAAACAGCTGCTTTAGAACTTTAAATGTTTTTCATAAATAAGAGAACATTAAAGGGTAGCTAAATCTCCAACACTATGCTTTAAGACATCACAATGTCCTTTCCTGCAATATGTGAATATATATTCTGTGCAAAATTCTTTATAGATATCCAGTCCTTTGTAACGGTGGTCACGCAAAAATTAAAAATAAAATATGTACATCTACATAAGTAACTCAAACAATATTATATGTCGTAACACTAAAAATAAAAAAATAATAATAATAATTACTAAGGTGAGGTTCGAAGTTGGGCCGGGGGCGTCGTAGCGCAAAAGTGCCAACCACTGGACCACAATGGCCCTGTTATGCTTTTATCTGCAAGACTCTTTTAACCACAGTATTACTTTCTATTAGGGCTGTGCAATTAATCGAAAATCCGATTTCGATTACGGCTTCTAACGATTATGAAAAACCATTATTCGAGATAAACGATTATTCCATTATTTCCCGCCCCCTTTCCAGTTATCCTCACTTGTTGCTCTTAAAAGCGCGAAAGACCGCATGCTTATGTGCGTGTGTGTGTGGCGCAGACAGTCAGAAGCATGCGGTCAGCACTTGGTCTCATTCGCACATTGCGACGAGCAGAGAGCACACACATCTAAAGTCATTAACTTTAGCGCTTAAATGTTCAAATAGGTGTCAAAACGCAGTGTTTAGTGATTATTCATATTAACCCTCATTTGTGTAATAAACAAATGAGTTGAGAATCAAAGGACGCGTGAAAGCGAAACCATTAAAGAGACAGAGCACAATAGCTGCCACCTGTTTTATCATGATTAACACAACCCCTCTCCCTCTTGACTGAAGGACTTTTGTAGCTAAAGTGTTTTTCTTACAGTGAAGATGCTTAAAGCAGTTTGTTTCATATTTTTATTTTATTTATCTTTCCTTTGCAGGGTGGAAAATAACTGTATATATATATACAGTTGAAGTCAGAATTATTAGCCCTCCTGAATATTAGCAACCCTTTTCCTCCACAATTTCTGGTTAATGGAAAGAAGATTTTTTTTTCAACACATTTCTAAATATAATAATTTTAATAACTCATTTCTAATAACCGATTAATTTTATCTTTGCTATGATGACAGTACATTATATTTTAGTAGATATTTTTTAAATACAAACATTCAAATTTAAAGTGTGATTCAAAGGCTTAATTAGGGTAATTAGGCAAGTCATTGTATAACAGTAGTTTCTTCTGCAGACAATCAAAAATATATATTGCCTAAAGGGGCTAATAATATTGACCTTAAAAGAGGTTTCAAAATATTTAAATCTGCTTTTACTCTAGCCAAAACAAAACAAATAACCCTTTCATTAGAGCAAATACTGTTAAAATTCGTTACTCTGTTAAAAATAATTTGGGAAATATTTATTTTTTAAAAATTCTCAGGAGTGCTAATAATTTTGACTTCAACTAATAATCGTTTGGAATAATCGTGATTACAATTATGACCAAAATAATCGTGATTATGATTTTTACCAAAATCGAGCAGCCCTACTTTCCATTGATGGCTTAATCTTTTTCTCCCCTTTATAGATTTAGGATCAAGTTAAGTCAGATTTATTAATGCAGCGAATCATCAGATTTTTATTGAGCAGGTGTAATATTCATTAATATTAATTATTCCGATTCTTATATTCACTAAGGTGCCACTGTTTGAGGTCGAATAATAGTTACATCATCATTAACCTGCAGGCTGCATTTTGCTCACAGGGCGGCAAGAAAATAAATAAAAAGAGTGGACCTGGGGCAAAATAATGAATATAAAGAGTGAGGCTGTGGTCAAATAAACAAATAAATAAAAAAAGTGCGACTGCTGAGAGTACAAGCAATAGGGACACCGGCCCTTGTGGCCAAAAAACGGACCGGCCAACCAGGAATTCTACCAGTCCTCCCGATCAGCCAATCCAGGCCTGCATGCTTTTATCAGCAGCAGGGTGGATTACTGTAATGGACTCCTCACTGGCCTTCTCAAAAAGACTGCCTTCCCAAAAAGTCAGACGGTTGCAGGTCATCCAGAACGCTGAATGAGCACTGTGCTACCTCTGACATATCGCACTATTATGTCTTTCTTTTCATTTTTATTCTTTTATAACCTGTTTTAACACATTTTACGCTGTTGTTATCTGTTTTTAAAAAAATTTAATTCTTTGTTGTTTTTAGTTTTTTGTTTCTTTTATTTATGATTATTTAAAGCACTTTGAATTACCATTGTGCATGAAATAATCTTTATAAACTTGCCTTGCCTTTAACTCTGAGAAGCCTGATGTATTAAAGAAGAGTCAATGTTTCTAAACAATTTATATATAGAAATGGACAAAATTGTTGGTGAACTTTAATTTTGTTCAGGCCAGTTTCATTCGATTGCATTTTTAATTCTGTTTAACCAAAATTCAAAAGCAATAACTGATGATTTCCATTAGTTTATTTTTTTTCAGCTTCAAGTTATTTCAGTGACTATTGTAGTTTTGTATTTCTTCAAATGGAAGGGTGCCAACGATTTTGTCCATGTCCATGTGTGTCTGTCTGTATGTATAAAACAAAGATTAATCGCACAATTATTACAGGTACAACATGAGTCAAAGTATTGAACTCATCTGCACTAATAAAAATAAAAAGTTATAATAATTAAAACAATCCCTTTAATGAAGAAAAAAACTACAGCCCCACTTCAGCCTCTTTCACACGGAGATTCTAGAAAACACACAGATAATGTGGCCATGGGTAGTTTGAATATGGTTCATTTACACTTTGCAAGACTTGCTCCTATCTGTATGCTCAGCAATTGATTTACAATCCATGAATCACACCAGAGCTGCACAAACGCAACATTATAGTTATATCACTATTTATGTGACAATGCAAACTAAAATGCCTTTTAACAACAAGCTAAAACAGTGGTCTGATGACCTGAAACTGATAGGGGTGTCATGGAAAAGACATTTTCACACTGTCTCTATAATTGCAAATTCAATAGTGAAGGCAGTCAAAACAAAGCAAGTAATTGGCTGGTGTTGTGATAACAGCAACACAAACAGTGAAATCTGAGTGCTGGAGAGGGGACCTGTGCCGTATATTTTCAGTTTGCTTTTTGTACTTTTTGATAATAATCGATAATACAATTTTCTGTGGTTGAAAGCTCTACTGGGGCATGGATCCCCATAAAAAATTAATTAATTAATTAATTAATTAATAATATTAATTAAAAAAAAAAAAAAAAAAAATATATATATATATATATATATATATATATATATATATATATATATATATATATATATATATATATGTGTGTGTGTGTGTGTGTGTGTGCGTACATATGTGTGTGTGTGTACATATGTGTGTGTGTGTATATATATATATATATATATATATATATATGTATATGTATGTATGTATTTATGTATATATATAATTTTTTTTGTATTATAAATAAATAAAAGTATTATTGCTATTATATAAGTGCAGGTTGCCAGGTTGACGCGACTGTGCCTGACTAAACTATGTTGTAAATAAAAGCAACGGCACACGATAGAAGGAATATTTTTTTTATACTAAAAGGAGTTTTTGTCCTAACTAACACAAGGAATTTCTATTTCAGAAACGGCTTCTATTTCTCACAGCTCAACAACAGAATAAACTACGATCAGCTCAGGTACACCTCATGTACTTTATTTAGTTTTAAATGCTAATCATGTGAGTTTAAATGCCATTTTACATGACATTTATTGCCAAACTACTGAAAGCTGCAGCAGATAGTCCACATTAGATCTTGAAAATAAAATAAACCATTTGAAATAGAAAGTGGAAGCCAACACATATGCGTGATTCAGCATATACATATAATCATTTTAAAGAGGTTTAATATGAATTAATTAGATTATAAACCTTACTATTTCATTGGAGTGCAGTGAGTGCACTATTGTGTGCTTCTGAATGGCTGTATTTAAATTTCTGTCGTGTTTCGACTGGTGCAAACAGCCAAATTGCTTATCATTGCAAATGTCATTGCGTAGCATGTTGTTAGGACACAGGGCTACAATGTAACCTGCTAACCTGATGTTTACGTTCGTAATATTTATATTATTTGCTAATTAATAACCACCTCATGTGGAACTCTAAATCTGTGTCTCATTTCGGAGTCTGCTACTGTCCACCGGAGATCACACTATGGTCATGGACGCATGCTTTGAGAGCATTGTTTCTATGTCATTCCTAGATAACAACCGCTAAATAACACAGGCTCATCCAGGAACTTTGATCGTCAGTGAATACGTTCACATGCAAATACTTGCATCCACATTCATATGTATCATAAGACCTGGAAGGAACCAATAACTATAAACCAAGCGAGAGAGGGGTGTCATTCTGACCTCCGGCATGTCCAGTCGTGGCTGTCCAATGGCCAGCTCAAATATGGCTCTGGAGCGGTCGGTGTCCCCCAAGATGGTCTCCAGCTCTGCAAACTTGATCCAGGTAGTGCAGTTTTCCGGACTGAACTCCAGATATTTCTCGTAGAGTTTTCTACAGCGGTCAAACTCTCTCAGCTGCAGCTCCAGCTCGATGTAGCCCTTGAACAGTTTGTTTTTGGGACACTTTCCAATGGCTGTGCCCTGATAGGAGAGAGGTCAGAGGTCAAATTTGAAGTAGTAGTATACAGTAATTCTAGGACAATGTTAATAAAAGGTTATAAACCACCTGAAATGTTGACTAAATCGACATTCATACATCTGGGGTTGTTTGACCATTTTTATTACACAGCTGTCTGGAAAACCCAATTCCAGCTGGTCAGTCACGACATTCCACGGTGTTTTATGAATTTTGGAGGTATATTATAAGGTATGAATATTACCTCTGTATTTAGAGGTTGTTTCTATGTTATTCCTAGATAACAACCACTGAATGACACAGGCTTATCTAGGAACTTTGACCGTCAGTGAATACATTCACAAGCATATACTTACATCCACATTCATATGTATCTGCTTGCCTGTCACACCACTTTTTTTTTGACTGTTTTGCTCCATCTTGTGACTGAATAATATGTAGGTTTGTATTAGTGATGTCAATTTACTAAAACTCGATACTAATCGGCCCAGAAATCGGCACTCAAAAACTTCCACTTCCTGCAAACATTTGAGCGCTGTTGAGCTTGTTCTTAAACAGCGTTGAATTGCCATTGTGTTCACAAGCTTTTCACAGCTGCGATATCAGTCAATTCATCAACGGATTGCTCATATGTCCGCTTATAAACAGACCAGCTGTTTATATTTACAGCTTTAAAACGCTCCAGTGTCCCTGTATCTGTAGTTACACTTAGCAAACAGCGGTGAGTTCGGTGATCTGATGACCTTCACGGCCAATCACAGTCATTTCTGATGAACACAATGGCAAATCAGTGCTGTTTACGAACGCGTTCAACAGGCACTTTCAAGCACCAATGGACACGTCAGCCAATCAGATCAATTTATGCAAAGACACCCGCTTAGAAAGTAGCCGATTGCAGACTAATTAGCTGACTCCATTTAAAACAAACAAAAAAAACTTCACAAATAGTCATTTGTGAAATAATACAATGTACAATAACTGTGTTGTAACTGGGTATATAGTCTATTTGTAATGTTTACCATCATTTCTGTAGTACCACATAATCTTTCAGAAGTACTTCAGATATACTTAAGAAACATTTCTTTTTATCATCAATGTTGATAAAAGTTTTACTGCTGAATTTATTTTTTTCAACTATAATACCTTTTTTCCTGGATTATTTGATAAATGTGAGATTCAAAACTGTATTTCAAATGTTTTCTAATACTACACGTCTTTATATTTGCTTTTGAAATACTTTAATGAATTGACTTCAAACAGTAATGTACAAAATAGAAATCTGGAAACACTTACCAGGCCTCGTCTTGCATTTTGGAGGTTCTTTTGGCGGATTTCAAATTGCCCATATAAGAGCCAAATCTTGGCAAAAGTAAACTGAGTATAAAAAAAACATATATAGTTAGCTTCTTTATATATCAAATATTACAGCGGCATGTGACTGCATGAAAATTTCCATATCATGGATGTTCATTATAACAATTTATTGTATTATTGAATAATCACATATCCAGGTACAGCATGGAGTAAAACCTTATGCAGTTTTACATGTAAAATGATGTCAAACGAAGACTTTGTTTAAAAATCGTTGCTAACTGTGCACTAAACTGCTAATATTAATTTGACAATTAGCTCACCGAAAACATGGATGGATCATTCACCCAAAAATGAAAATTTACTCAGTATTTACTCACTTAGAAGTTTAAAACCTGTACCTATTGACATCCATAGTAGGAATAATAAACACTATGGAAAAGAACGGTTACAGGTTTTCAGCATTTAGCAAATTGTCTTCTTTTTGTGTAAAGGCTGATTTATACTTTATAGGCTGATTTATCAAGTGCACGCGTATTGTCCGGTGCAGTCACATAGCCCTCCCCATGGCTGACACGCACCTCTCAAAAAAATTTAACTATTTGTCACAATGACGCATAGAGCAAGATCTGTGATTGGTCGGCTTGGTAGCGGTGATGATTGTGGGCGGTGCTGAGAGCCGCGAGCCTGATGAATGTGTACAAGTTTGGAGTCCCGTAAAGGAGCACCAGATGAAAACTTTTGGATTGTGTTTACCTTATAGGCCCACACGGAATCTGCATGCGCAGAAGTCCGCAGATTTTCTGCAGGCTTCCGCAGATTTTTAGCCCATGATTAATTCTGTTTATTTGCCTGAGTGAATGTGAGTAAATCTATATTTATTCAGTTTTTAAATAATTATAGTAATATTATTGACTAATATAAAATGTTCATCTGATTTGTGTACAATGCAGTTTGTACAGTAATATTTTCTGTCTTTCAGTAGATAAATTATATGAGAGACTTGCTTTATTTACCAAATGAAGTTAATCTAATTGGATTTGCGTTTTAAACATTAAATAAAAGAAAAAAAAATATATATATTTTTTTTATTTCACATATTAAGGTTTTAGTTATGATACTCCCAAAATAATTCTGCAGAAACCGGCAGATTTTTACCAAAATTCTCCGCAGAAATAGCAAAAAACGTCTGCAGATTTCGTCTGGCCCTATTTATGATTCAAGTTGTTGCATGTCCAGCGGTTCCCGCCTCTGAATGAGCGAGTTTTAGCTACTTCTACATTAAGATAGGGTTCAGAAAAAACAAAACACGCGCAAAAAAACTAGACACAGATGAACATAAAAAACTACAGCCAGCTAGTGTTTAAGAAGTGTTTTTGCAGAGCAACACAAACAACATGCAGAAGTATAAATGCACGACTACGCTCAAGTCAGGTGCCATGGATCACGCAGATCACTCAACGCAGAAGTATAAACCAGCCTTAAAAATGAAACAGGTGTGAAACATGGGCAAAAACAAAAAAAGATGACATAATTCTCAGTTTACGGGTGAACTATCCCTTCAAGACCTTCATTTTCTTTACCTTTTTGTGTGGTATAAGCTCCAGACAGGCCTTGTACACCTGTCTCGTTCTCTCAGGGTCCTGAAACAAACCAGACAAAACCACGTGAACCTCTGAGAAATTATTTATTTATTTATCTATCTATTTCTTTAATGCCATATCAGCAGCACTGGCTATATTCATGGCAAAACCTATATTAAATATACAATATATAACATATAATCATATCGACTACATAATAAACATTCATTGCACTAAAAACAACACCACTGAAAAGAGTCAAAGACAATATTTTAGTTTGTTTACTGGTAAATACTCTAAAATTCCTCTAGAAGACACCTTTTTAAACTTTTCCCTTCAAATATTACCTGAATTGAAAACTTCTCTATTAATTTAAAAATACACATTATATTAAAATGTGTTTAATCGTCAAAATATTCTTACACAAATCAAAACCTCAAAATTAAAGTGTAATGATGAGCTCAGTGGTGTCCGTCATACCTTGACCTCCAGCTCCTCATAGAGAGCGTAGTTAATCCACAGGTAGATGTAGCGTCTCCAGTGTCTCTTCTCTTGAATAGGGGGAATGTTGGCGATCGCTCTCTCGTACACTTCTCTAACTGTGTCTGCATCGGCATCACTCTCCACCAGACGCAGGTAATCAAACCATGCATCATAATTGTGTGGGTTAGCCTGCACAGGAGGAAAAATGTTAATAAGCAGAAACATCAATGATTTGCATGTTTACAAGAATAAAGACTTTTAGCATTATGCAATTAGAGGCAAATACATAAATATAACTCATAAAAAAGTACTATTTATTTATGTTTTACAGCCATATCAGCAGCATTGACTATATTCATAGCAACACTTGTACTAAATATATAATATCATTTACAATCATTACTGTTTCTTCATCATTCATTGTAAAGAATACAGTAATAAATAAAATGTATATGTAAAATATACATTTAGTTGAAAATTTTATATTTTAGTTAATATATATTATTAATATAGTAATATAATTTAATAATATATTATCTAAATGTAGATATTATATATGCATTATATATTGTGCATTTTATATAATACAATATTATTCCAATAAATAAAAATGTCTCTATCTTTCTCTGAATATTAAATCTCTTTCTCTGTATTTATTTTATTTACTGTAATATGGACTTTTAAAATGATTGCGAATCAAATAAACATTTAAAAACTTACAAGTCTATATTTCTAGATCATATTTATGAAATAATAATATAATAAAATATCAACATTTATTTAAATTATATTTATTTATATTAAAACTTTTTTATTTACTATTTTTTAATTAACTGATTGAGTCTATATTTAATATATTGTGATCTGGATGGATGGATGGATGGATGGATGGATGGATGGATGGATGGATGGATGGATTGATAGACAGATAGATATACGGACGCACAGATGAATGTATAGATGGATGGGTGGATGGATGGATGCATAAATTGATAGACAGCTAGACAGATGGATGGATGGATGGAAGGACGGAAGGACAGATAGACAGAAAGATAGATGGATAGACATATGGATGGATGGATGGATGATCAGATGCATGCATAAATCGATGCATAGATTAATAGACAGATAGATGGATAGACATATAAATGGATGGATGAATGGATGGATGGATGGATGGTCAGAAGCATGCATAGATGGATGCATGGATTGATAGATAGTGGATGGATGGATGGATATAAATACATGTTTATCTATAATTATAATAATAGATATAATAGATTTTTTATATATATTTGGAAAAATAGGCATTTAAACTTGAAATAATAATATAATAAAATATCAGCATTTATTTTAATTTATATATTTATATTAAAAAATTTTTTATTTACTATTTTTTAATTAACTGTTTGAGTCTATATTTAATATATTGTGATCTGGATGGATGGATGGATGGATGGATGGATGGACGAAAGGACAGATTGACAGAAAGATAGATGGATAGACATATGGATGGATGGATGATCAGATGCATGGATAGATGGATGCATAGATTGAAAGACAGATAGATGGATAGACATATAAATGGATGGATAGATGGATGGATGGATGGATGGTCAGAAGCATGCATAGATAGATGCATGGATTGATAGATAGTGGATGAATGGATGCATATAAATACATGTTTATCTATAATTATAATAATAGATATAATAGATTTTTTATATTTATTTGGAAAAATAGGCATTTAAACATTAAAGATATTTTATATAATAATATAAGAAAAATAATACATATATACATATTACTCTACTAAAATATATTTGTTTTGTTTTTTCACGTTTCCTTCTTGATTTTAAGATGATCTGGTGGACTTCAATTAGAATGAAAAACTAAATTGAAAGAGTGTTGTCACACATGACAGTGATGTTGTCTGGAGAGTCCAAACAGAACAATACTAAGACTTTTTTTATTATCTAAAATGTGATTTTTCTTATATATAAACTATGCCGTTGTCACTCACTTTGACCTCCTCTTCGTACTGAAACCTCCTCTTGCTGACGATCACGTCCTCGATTCCCCTCCTGTCTCCAAACCTCTTCTCAAACACAGTGTAGTTCTTGAACAGCTCCTGGGCCTGTTGCTTGGGGATTCGGTCTAAAGCGTATTTATAGATGACTCGAACTCTCTCAAACTGAGAAACACAAACAGAAACGATCATGTATGGACAGGAAACATCAGAAACGTCTCATATGTGCCCGACGACACAAACAGAGTAAGTCGTACCTCTTTCTGCTTCTCCTCAAATCTGGCAAAAGCCACGTAGAGATTCTCGCTGACCTGTTCTTCACCGAAAAACTCCACAGCTCGCTCAAACACTTTCCTGCCACGAGCAACATAGCCGTGCTTCTCCTCAAAGTGGGCATATTTGATCCAGTTCTTCACCTCAGGATGGACCATCACAAGTGCTCTGAGGTTAAGCAACGCAACTAGAATTTTGTATGTAACAGCCATGCATGCCTTTACAAATAAGAAATAACATAACTAATAGGGATGCATGGAGTCAGATCAGTCTCTAATATTACTGCTAACTAGGGTTGTAACGGTATGAATTTTTCACGGTATGATAATCGTCTAAAACAATACCACGGTTTGACGGTTTTGCAGTATACGGTATGTTACAAATGTTACAAAATAATAGAACAGTGAAGCAAATTTGACTTTTTCCAAATAATATATTTTTAGTTACTATAAACAACACCACTTACAATGAACAAATAAAAAAATAAGAAAATAATAAATAATGTGTCAAAGTACAAATAAAGTCCAAATAAACATGGTGCAAATCCTCAGTAAAAAATAGAATAAATAAATATTTACTATACTATAAATAGTTACATAACGAAACTAGATTCAATATGGAACATCCTTAGGTTTTATGTGCCAGCATGGATATGGTTGTCTGTGGATATGGATTCGGATTTGGTTGTCTGCAATGCAGACTAACAGCTGCACCTTCATTTGCGTCTTTTGAAAACAGCAAGAGCAGCAGTTCGTCTTTGCTGTGTCACTGTTTTGTCATGTTTCTGTGCTGCTGTGCATGCAAAAGTACTTAGTATGAGAATTTTTTCATGCAAAACTTTTTTTTTTTTTTGCGTTTTATTTAGCCACGCATAAATGTATGCCTATCTCTCATTCCGTGTTGTTCAAAAAGCTTGGTCCACAAACTAAAGCGAAACCTATGCTTATTGGTTGTGATATAGCGAGTTTGAACCAATCTGGGCATGGAGGAGGGACAATGCATCAATGTATCGTGTCTGGTTTGTCCGGAGACACAGTGACGAGCGTTTCTTTGTCAAATCAGCGTGGTCAAATTTTGATGACGTAACCGCACTGATTCCGGAGCCTCTGAAAGTCCGCGAATGTTATGTGATACAGCACTGGAAAGCTGAGATTCTCTTCTTTATGCCAATCTTTGAATTTTATGAATCGGATCAGCGGATCAAAAGTTATTAAACATTTAAGAGCAATACTTATTTTTAGCCGCGGGCGGCTGTCTCGGTCTTTAAGGGTTAAAACCGTTGATATGCAATTGTTCATGGTATGATAATCGTGCACGTTCAAATCGTGGTAAACCGTCATACCGGTATATTGTTACAACCCTACTGCTAACAGTCGCTAATAATTTTGACTTCAACTGTATGCTATATTTTCGAAGTGAAATGAATTATTCATGAAAGGATATAATTCTCATAGATGCTGCGGGCCTTGTCCACCTCCTTATAGCGCAGCTCAAAGTTGATGTATGAATGCCAGGCCTGCTCCTCCGGTTCCCACTCCATCCAGCGCTCAAACACCTGCCTGCAGCCTGCAATGTTGCCCAGCATCTCCTCCATATACGTGTACTTGTACCTGTGGCACAAACATATAAATAAAACAATCATTCAGAAATGACATGCATTTATTTAGAAGATGATTTGATCTAAAATGTCTTTTAAAAGAAAGAAAACACACATCAAGGATTCAAACAGAAATATAACCTTTGGCCTGTTTACACTTGTTATTAAAGGGATTGCTCACACAAAAATGTAAATTTGTCATCATTTACTCCCCCTTGACTTGTTCCAAACCAATTTGAGGTTTGATCAGTTGAACACAAAAGAAGTTATTTTAAAGAATGTTGCAAACCTGTAACCCTTGACCTTCTTAGTAGGGAAAACAAAGGATCTGGAAGTCAATGGTTGCAGGTCTCCAACGTTTCTCAGTATGTCTTCTTTTGTGTTCAATGGACGAAAGAAACTTAAATAGGTTTGGAACAACTGAAAAATGAGCAAATCCTGACAGAATTTTAATTGTTTGGGTGAACTATGTCTTTAAGATTAAGTTTTGTTGATCCAATTAGAAGTTGACCAGCCTAAATGCAGGTGTAAATTTTGCAAGAAAATAATAATTTGATTTGTGTAATGGGATATTTTATTAATTTCGATGTTCTTAAATATTTGCTAACTGTTTTTAATTGTAGACAGCTTATTTTTTATGTTTTAAAGGCATATCAGAAACATTGGCTCAAAACATTCAAAACATAATTATCAAACAAAACAGTTTCCTTATAAATTATTTAAAAATAATGCACACATACAGATGACAACAATACATAATATGATAACACATGGTCACATAAGATCTTTCAGTTTATCAGAAAATGTAGACAGTTATGTAGTCAAGTTCAAAATGATTCATACCACAGGGAAATTCTGACATGGTTACTTTTATTCAACCAGCAAGTTTTTTTTTTCTTTTTCTTTTTTACCAGAAATGAGACAGGCTTCTCCCAAAAGACAATATGACGATGTACAAGAGGCGTCCTTGCGCAAAAAATAAAATCTCAGCTTTTCTTTACATTTGAACCGAAAAATTTTAGTCAGAATTTGCAAAGGGTAATAATTTTAGGCTTGATTGTATATTAATGTATAAATGCTACATTAGGAACTTTTAATTTATTTTTTACTTTCATTTTTCAATTCTTAAAGAATATTAAATTGATTTAACTGCTTTAACATCTTCTCATTATATTTAACACGAACAATCTTGACCAAAAAGGAGTTTGAAAGAGCATTTGTGACTGCAACTATGTAAACTGCACAAGTTTAATTAACAATATTAAACAAAAAACAAAAAGGTTCAGAAAAAACCTAGACATCCACCCTTCCTCATCAAAAAAGCTGTTAAAAGTGTTTAAAAGTGGAAAAAAACTGTTGAAGTCAGAATTATTACCCCCCCCCCCCCCCCCCTTTGATTTGTTTTTTTTTTTTCCTTTTTTTTATAGTTCCCAAATGATGTTCAACATAGTAAGGAAATTTTCAGAGTATGCCTGATAATATTTTTTCTTCTGGAGAAAGTCTTATTTGTTTTATTTCAGCTAGAACAAAAGCGGTTTTAAATTTATTATGAACCATTTTAGGGTCAAAATTATTAGCCCCTTTAAGCATTTTTTTTCGACTGTCTACAGAAGAAACCATCGTTATAAAATAATTTGCCTAATTACAATAACCTGTCAAGTTAACCTGTCTTAAAAAATATCTAGTAAAATATTATTTACTGTCATCATGGCAAAGATAAAATAAATCAGTTATTAAAGATGAGTTATTAAAACTATAATGTTTAGAAATGTACATTCTCTCCATTAAAAGGAAATTGGGGAAAAAAAATAAACAGGGGGGCTAATAATTAAGGGGGGCAAATAATTCTGACTTCAACTGTAGATGCATCTAAATGGGAATCTGTCTCCCTTATTTATTTGATCCAACTGGCCAAAAAGAATTATAATACCAGGCAATTGTCTAAAAGTATTAGTATTTTGAGATAAAGCATACCAGAACTGATTGACGCGGGGCAGGATGGTAATGGCTCGGTCCCATATGTTGCGAGCGTGATTGACCTGCCGGTTCTTCATCTCCATCTCGGCATACTTCAGCCACAGTGTGATATTGCGGTGATCCACGTCGAGTGCACGCTCGTAGATGGAGCGAGATCTAAAGACAACATCATCATCAAATAGTTTTAAATAATGCCATGTCAGCAACAAATTAATCAATTAATTTCACACAATTGATTATTCATCCTGAAGACCAAAAAACAAACTTCACAGTTCCTGAAATTAAATAAGAATTTTATTTAAGAGAGGAACCTCACCTCTGGACCTCCTGCAGGCTCTCCTCCCATTGTGCGTACTTGATCCAGTTGCTGATCACAGTTCTGTTTTTCCTGATGTTGTCCTCAAAGCCCTGTATTACAAGAAAAGAAAATGTAGAGAAGCAAAATATTCATTTAACTGAGAACTTTTTGAATAATATGTAAAGGGACACATAATATATCGGCAGCCATATGGTTATCGGCCGATAAATGCTATTTTTAAGATTATCGTTATCGATCCGATGTCTAAATTAGGCCGATAAATTACGTTTAGTTCAACTCACAGCGGTTTATCATAAACTTTTCATGATCATTTTTCCCGCAATTGACAGCAAGAACGAACACAGAAGCATTGTCTGATTGACAAGCACTACAGCTATACGTGTTCAAAAGAATCTAAAACGCTAAATAGGATGAATCTATGCCGCATTTTCTAAAGTAATACAACCTGTACTCAACTTTTTGCTTGTACGGTAACTCTGAACTGTCAAAACACCCTTAGAAAAGTTTTTTTTTTTTTCGAACATTACATATTTGTACATATGTACATCAATGTAACACGTTTTATTCAAGAACAATTGAGCTGGTTTCAGTTGTTAGCTCTTTCATTTTCATCTTATTTAAATATATTTAACTTGCTTGTTGATTAAATCCTGTTTTGTTATTTAACCTATTATTTTTATGCAACAGTGAAGTTGCATGTTAATTTGCTATGAAGAAAAGGAAATAATTAATTTTCTTGCATGCTGATTTATGTGAAATCGTGAATATAGGTCTATATAACCACCTTGCAATTTTGAAATTATAGCTTTTTTGGTTTGAGTAGACTTTTCAGTTCATAAGAGCAGTTCAATCTTTTATTAAGTTTAAAAATATAACATTTTTAAACATTTATAATTATCGACCTATATATATCGACTATCAGCCTCCAAGTCTGAAGAGTTATTAGTTATCGATATACACTAAAAAACCCATATCGGTGCACCCCTAATTATATACCACTGACAGTGGCATTTTAACTTTAAGATATTAATATAATTTTATTCTTTTTGACACATAATATACTGATGACATATTTTCTGCAGATGCACTATGTATATGAAGCTTTTAAAGTATGTATCACAATAATACCATGTGTTATTGAGTTTAGTACATGTATACTAGGAGTTTTATAGAAACGAACATCAAATGCGAAACATCAAATTGACAAAACCTTTACACTGGTAACATCATGTTGTGACCAGATGTACCTTGTTGACATAGCATATTCAAAGCATGAACATTAGGGGTGCAAGATATTGAAAAATAAATCAAACATTGACATATTTTGTTTTTCTGTGATAAATAATGCAAAATGAATATAGGTCCATCAGATGCCTTAACTCTATTTGGGAAGTGTTTATTAATTCAGACTGATTGCAATAAAGGATTGAATCATGCATAAAAAAATAACAAAAAATTACAAGTATTGTTACTTTATGAATTTGTCAAACAGCAAACAGGTACAGGAATTGCAAAAAAATCAAATGTAAATAAAACACTGCATCTTCTTTATTGTAAAAATTATTTTAAAAATGTATCTTTATTAAAGGTACAAATGGTCTAATTTCTTGTGCCTGTGTAACAGGGTTAAAATAATGTTTAATTGTCTTTCACCAAAATGGGTTATTTTGTTTATTTTGTGGCTGTTGAGAGACCTCTTGTGGCAACAGTGTGTAATTGTTTCTTTCACCTTTCACCTGCAAAACCCCGCCTACAGCAGAAAATGGTTGCAGAATGCAGAAAGGCGGTAGGTAAAATGTGCTCCAGCTAAATGTGACAAATTTTGTATTTTAACACATATTAATAACACATACAAGCCCAATATGAACATTAAGTGATGTTTTAGATCAAATCTGTCGAGTGATTGCCGTGTGTGACAAACTTTGTGTGGTTTAATTTGCTCATGCTAGGTGTAGCTGGAATGATGACATTAATATGTGCAAGGGTGATTTCTTACTATTTGTTTGGTTTTTTTAGATGCATGTTTAAATGCATACTGTTGCCAGATGATGTATATTTCTGTTACAGGTATGTTAACCTTTTGTAAATAAATAATGTTTTGTTAAAATGACTTTGTGGCAACACAGCAGAAAATGGTTGCTGAATGCAGAAAGGCGATGCATGTTTAAATGCATACTGTTGCCAGAGGATGTATATTTCTGTTACAGAATAAACAACGCAGAACGCAGTTCTCTGTGTCCGCCTGAGTGATTTGCGTCTTCAGGAAGAGAAGCGTTACACCTGGATGCTTTATACGTTCTTGAAATGTTCATACAGCGGCAGTCCATAAAACACAGGCAGACTTCCACTTTATATACATATATAAACTGTCTTCTGGTCAACTATAAACCCAACAAGACATTGCATATCCTCTGAGTTTTCTGAATATGCACTGTGATAATGCCCATGTTTTCTAGAGGTTTACCATAATAAAATAATACATTTAAACCATAGCGATATCATCTTTTATAATCTACACACCATATCAATACCATATTTTCTGAACATCATGATAGCACTGCGCACATTCTATAAGCAATTGTGACACTACTGTATATTTTTGAGGCATATGCCATGACAGAACCAAGCTTTCAGTACATGCACAGTAATTTAGTACTACTTTATGACATATGCATATAGTGACACCATGGTATACTACATGGTGATACAACATTTCATACCTTTCTCTTTTTCAGTTTGTAGTCATTGAGCTCTTCTTTATCGGTGATCTTCTGTTTGGGTGGCGGTGGCAGCAGCTCGAGCTCTCTCTCTTTGGCCTCTCTGAGCAGCTGCTCGGCGGTGATCTGCACCTCTGCAGGGGCTTTATTCTTCACCTGAACACAAACACAAAACCATTACAAAACAAGACAATCTTTAACCCATCTGGTTATAGTTCTATACATTATACAGTTGTTATTTTCAGAGTGGCACAAGTTCACGTTGTTTACAAGCTAATGCTAACTCACAGCTTTATTCTTCACATGAGCATTAATACAAAACCATTACAAAGCAAGACAACCTTTAACTCAACTGATTACATGTATACACATTATACATCAGTTAACTAATTATAAAGTAACGTTAGCAGAACTACATGTTGTTTACATGCTAATGCTAACTTACAGGGGTTTATTCTTCACCTGAACACAAACACAAATACATTATAAAAAAATAAGCTTAACTCCACTAACCACATTTATATACAGTAGTTAATTATTAAGTAACGTCAGCACGACTTCACGTTGTTTACATGCTAATGCTAACTCACAAAAACATCATATAGGTTTTACCTTCGCCACTTTCGGGATTCTCTGTTTGCCCGCCGCGGTGGACGCCATGATTATTACGCTCCTGACACTTTATTAAAAATAAATTAGACGTATGTTCTTGTGTTTTAGATTTCGAAAGCCCGCTAAAACCTGTAAGGTTAGCGACGTTTCAGTGCCGTGTGTGTCGCGCCTGCCGTGACGCGCTGTGACCTTTGCCTGCATCTACGTCACGGAGCATCTCACCATGGTGACAGGACGCTTGCTAGCGGTTAACGTTATCAATAAATAAAAGGTCAGCAGTTTGAGGCTGTTAAAACTCAGTTTTTTATTGTTATACACCAAAAATACCTGTTTAATTGTTTTATGTTGCTTGTGTATCGACTTTTTGTCAATGTAAGTGAATGCTTGTTGTTTTAAAATATTTTTGCCTATTATTGGCTAGTGACTGAGTTCAAAACTCAACATTTTACATTAATAACGTTAACTTACCTCAATTAAATACCTTAAACGTTTGTTATTTATTTGTTTACTGTTAGATCTGTTTATTGTTAAACCGAATTTTCTTCAATGTGTGTGAATGTTTATTTGTTTTTATAAAGGTTAGTGACGAGGCTCAAAGTAAAGTTACATGTAACGTTATGTTATTTAACTTTATTCGCTCACTGTTAGATTTTTTTATAGTCCGACCTATCTTTAATGTAAGTGAATGTCCATTTTTATTAATTTGTTAATTATGTATTGCTTGTTATTGTGTATGAAATAACCGTAAAGAGTTGTTATTTATTTGTTTACCAAAATAAGTCTGTGCGTGCACACAGACGAAAAACATATAACGTACAATTGAAGTCAGAATTATTAGCCCCCTTTGATTTTTTTTCTTTTTTAAATATTTCCCAAATGATGTTTAACAGAGCAAGGAAATTTTCACATTATGTCTGATAATATTTTGTCTTCTGGAAAAAGTCTTATTTGTTTTATTTTGGCTAGAATAAAAGCAGTTTTTATAAAATAAATAAAAAAATAAAATAAAATTTAAGGTCAATATTATTAGCCCCATGAAGCTATATTTTTGTCTACAGATCATTACACAATAACTTGCCTAATTACCCTGACCTGCCTAGTTAACCTAATTAACCTAATTAAGTCTTTAAATGTCACTTTAAGCTGTATAGTAGTATCTTGAAAATTATCTAATAAAATATTATTTACCTGTCATCATGATTAATTAAATAAATCAGTTATTAGAAATGAGTTAGCAAAAACTATTATGTTTAGAAATGTGTTGAAAAGAAATCTGCTCTCCGTTAAACAGAAATTAGGGAAAAAATAAACAAGGGGGCTAATAATTCAACTGACTTCAACTGTATATTACGTCTACAGTTGTGCTCGAATGTTTACATACCACTTATATAATCTGTTAAATGTGAATAATTTTAACAAAAGTAGCAACATAATACAAAATACATGGTAATTTGTAATAAGTATTGTACCATACACTCCTCAAAAATCTTTATTTTATATTCATGTTTTTAATAGGAAGCTGCAGTATTATATTTGTGCAAATACATTAGTCAGTACTGAAGCCAAATCTGGAGCTTATCAAACAAAACAACTTACAATAACGGCCCAAAAACTAGAAAAGCCAAAAAATTTTATAGGAAAATATTAAATACAATTTTTTTTTTCAAAAGAGGAAAAATCAAGAGAAGCAAAAACAAAAAAGGAAAATTTTGTTGAAATTTTATAGGTTGTAATTTACTTTAGCTAAATTTAGCTTGATTTTATTGTATTATCTTTCTATTTCTAAATATGTTTAGTGACTAAAATATCATATTAATAAATATATCTGTTTAATAAATCTGTTTTGTTTAAATGCACCAAAATGCATTGCCTATATTCAATAAGAAATCAAAAATATTAATAAAATAAATAAAAATAAATATTAGTTTTAAATATAAATTTTTATTTAATAAGTAATAAAATATATTGATAAAATAAAATAAATATTAATTTAAAATATATAATTATTTAAATATTTTAATAAATATAAATTTTAAACTATAATTATAAAAATATAAATTTTCTAAATGGGGTGTTCTCAATTATGCTGAGCACTGAACTTGCATGTTTCCTGGAACACAAATAAAGTGCAATTTACCTTGAATTTACTTTGATTCGCTGCTGGAAAGAGCTCAAATCTGCAGAGGAGGCTGTAGAATCTAGGGGACATGGAGGGGTTTTTTTTTTTTGAAGAACAGCAGTCAGTTGAACTGCTCAGAACAAACAAGAGACTCATCAACAACAAAAAAACACTGGTAGATCATTAGGAAACCACAAACCAAACTTTTGCAAGGGGTTATTTTTTAAAATTTCACCTATGTTTTTTTTTTGTGCACTACATATAGACATATTTTATGCAAAATAGCTTAATCAGGACAGTACTTAATAAACAATAACTAGGCCCACACAGAATCTGTGCTTGCAGAAATGTGAAAATTTCGGCAGATTTTTAGTTAATCATTGAGTCTACGTGTGTAAATGTGTGTAATTTTATATTTATTCACTTTTTAAATTAATTTCAGTAATATTATTGACTAATATAAAATTGTTCATTTGATTTATTTACAATGAAGTTTGTAAAGTAATATTTTCCGTCTTTTAGTAGATATATTATATAAGAGACTTGCTTTGTTTATTAAATAAGTGGATTTTGGAAATTGGAGTTGCATTGTAAATGTTAAATATTAAAATTAATATTTAACATTTACAATTTTTTATTTCATATATTAAGTTTTTAATTATGATACTCCCAAAATCGCATAAATCAGCAGTTTTTTTTTACAAAATTCTCTGCAGAAATAGCAAAAATGTCCACAGATTCTGTCTGGTCCTAAAAATAGCATGCGTTTTGTATGATCTCTCATATTTTGTTACAATTATTCACATTTTAACAGATTCTTCAAGGGGTATGTAAACTTTCGAGCACTGTAATAACTGTATAACACAATTTATGTCTGTGTCTAATCACACATGTTCATTGTATTAGAGAAAATGAGCACCATCACTTCATCCACTGGTAAAGCAGAAAGTGTGACCGTGAGGAGAACTGAATGGTCAGATGCTGAAGAGATCAATCATCTGATCAGTCCGGCATCTGTTGCCGTGTTCGGGAGACTTAATGTCATCAATCTCCTGTAAGTAAGAAGAGTCATGAAAACTAATAAACCAGGAAATATTACAACACATATATGGGTTACATTTAAGAGGTCACAAGGCTTCAAAACAGTAAATCACTGAAAATATTATTGATTAGAGGTACTAAATTTTATTAAGGTAAGTGGTTGCAAATAATTTATAGGCTGAATTTAAACAAATTAAACATTACTAAATTTAATTTGTTTAAATTCAGCCCATAGAAATTATTTGCAACCACTTACTTACCTTAAAAATTGTAAATCCAAGAAATTATTTTTTCAGTAGGCTTTCATTTTCTTGCATTACATGTGTTTTTTTTAAGGATCACAGTGGAGCCTGATAATACTCAGTTTAAAACTTTATAATTTTCCACTATACTTCAAACCATTAGGTTTTACCCATTTGTTAGCAAGACATTTTTAAAAATATAATATTGAATGTTACAGGTTAGGTAAATTATGTTATTTCAAAATTCGATAAAAGATACTGAATTTATTTTTTCAACCTTATTTTGACTCTATAGTTATTTAAAACCTTCAATGGGACCTATTATGCCCTTTTTTACAAGATGTAAATTAAGTCTCTGATTGTGTGTACGCTGAAAAAAATTATTCAAAGATGATTCCTCGAATTTACTTACTTTTTTTAGATTAAGGTGTTGTAAACAATTAGTTTATGTTAAATTTAAACAAATAAATTAAGCTGAACATTACTAAATTTAATTTGTTAGTTTAAATTCAACAAATAAATTGTTGCAAAATTAATTGTTTTTCAGAATGTGAAGTTTCAGCTCGAAATACCACACAAATAATGTTTTATAATGCCTTGAAACCGATCCTAATTGGGCCATTTTGGTCACTCACTTTAAATTCAAATGAGATTTGCTTTTTTTCAATAGAGGGTGGAGCTACAAATGCGTGCGTGTCAGCATAGTGGCAGATTAAAAAACAAGACTATGCTAATGAGGTAAAGATTGTCACTAATGGATGGGGCTTTTACCCCCTCTAATGACATGCACATATGGAAAATGTCAATTGAAGAGTTTCGGCAGACTTGTTTTTATCAAGTGTGATTATAAAAAATGAAATTAATTAATAATTAGCTATATTTACGCACTGTTGCCACACAACTGTGTTTACACCCCTTATAATAGTATTTTTTGCATAAAAGGTCCACTTTGAAGAAGATAATTTACACATATATGTAAAATCACTTTAATGTCTGCTACGTTTAATTAAAATGTAATTAATTAAAATAATAATAAAATTATATATATATATATATATATATATATATATATATAATTTTATTATTATTTTGAATTGAATATATATATATATATATATATATATATATATATATATATACACATATATATATATATATATATATATACACATATGCTGCAATATTCATTCCTTTTTTTTGGGGGGGAGTTATAATTGGACTGTTTTGCATAAACTGGATTTTTAAAAATATTTCCATATATGATATAGATCATTACAGGATTTTCCCAGTGCTGGGTTGCGGCTGGAAGGGCATCTGGTCTGTAAAACATATGCTGGAATAGTTTGCGGTTCATTCCGCAGTGGCGACCCCAGATAAATAAGGAAGATGAATGAATCGTTACAGGACATGTTTCTCTATTTTCATTGCAGTGAGAAAGCAAATTTAGCCGTGACCCTGAGCTCCAGTAAGAATGAAGTTTTGGCCCACGCATCTTTCTCAGATCACCCAATAGAAGAGCTGGTGGATCAGGCATGCTGGCAGAATCGGCTTCAAAATTACGCCAGTGCAGAGAAATTGACGGTAGGAAGAGTAAATAAAACCTGATGTCCATTAATACTCAAAATGTTTTTGGAGAGTTCCTGAGAATCTTGTTTTTCTATCCTCCAGCCCATGAACACTCTCTTCCTGCGGCTGTT